CGACGGCTGCCCGCTGGGCGTCCTCTCCGGCCGGCGCCTGGCAGGCCCTTCCCGCCTGCTGCAACAGGTTTTCCCTGAGGAAAAGGGGCTTCTCCACCTCTTTAGATCTGCCACCACCTATTTTGGTCCATCGCACGTTTTGATCAACTGCCTGTATGATGCAGGGGCCGGAGCTGCTACCGGTAGCTGCAAGCACAGTACCAGCCCCATCCCCAAAACCCCTCAAAGGTAAAATGAAACTGGGCATGCACAACACATTCAAGTTTTCCAGAACATTCTACTCACCGTCTTTGGGCTTTCTAATGCAAATGATAAAAAAGATGACAAGGAAAACCACAGCACCGCAAGCCACAGCAATCAGGATGACCAGGTGCAGGGACAGGCGAGTCCTCTGGAAATCTAGAGCAATACAGCAAAAGACTCTCAAACAGAGAAGCCCTCCTGGGTCACAATAGCAGCAGCAGCTACGTGATGCTGACCACCTCCCCTGAGGACAACAGCAGCCAGCCCTGTCGTGGGCACGCAGGGTTGTACTGCACGTGTATGTCCCTGCTTGTCCCCATCCTAACAGCACCTTGCTCATGTGGCTTTGAATAGGTGCGTTTGTGTGAGCCAGCCACTGCGCACACATCTCACTGAGAGACTGCGGCCATAAAGACGGCTGGCAGAGTGTCTTAATGCTGAGGCTGACTGAGGCTGTGAGCTGGGCAGAATAGTTGCACTACACATCGGGAAATAAAGGGTCTCAGCTTTTCATTCAAGGACACTGTTCAGTTGTATTTGGAACATGTTTAAACCTACCACAGCACTGCAAAGCTAGAGGAGGTATAAAAGATTTGCTTGAGTTGCACACTGAGGCTTTTCTGCTGTTCCTGCTTTGACACTCAAAGAAAAGATCAAAATGGACTATTGTTTGGGAACACAGCAACAACTCTGCTCCAACTATGAAAGCTTTTTTTTTTCCCCTGTAAAAACATCCAGAGTCTTTTTAAAGAGTCGCCATGAATCATCTGGGTCCCTTAAGAACAGCCATTAATACAATTTGCAGCCAAAAGGCAGAACACTAATTTTGAGGCTGAAGGTACTGACTGCTGAGTGGCCAGTTTGGGTCCCTAATCTCGTTCTTAGCTTTTTTTTGCTTTCCACTTACTCCGAGTTGTATAATTCTTTTCTGTATATCCCACATCATTCTCAGAAGTCACTACTGCTGTGGGCAGATCTGCAAAACAAACAGTAATGAAAGGCTCACTGTGTATTTCCAATCCTCATTTTAGCACCAGGAGATCTGGGATTATAGCTGCAGGACCAGAAGAGAATGTCTCCATCACCTTTACAAGGCAGTGAAAACAGGCAAACTCTAGAAAGTAGTACTATATATATACTATATATTGTATCTATATACTATATATTGTATGTATACACAAACTATATATACACACACACATATATGTCTATACACATATGCCTGTAATAGTGGTGTATGTAATAGAGCCCCATGGAGTCCAAGAGTTTACTGAAGTACCTCTGAACACCAGCTCCGTTTGTTTTTTTTTTTGTAAGAATAGTGAACAATTGTTAACATCTTCCCTTAGCTTCTCATCGCTGATGCCAATTCCCATAACCTGCTGTGTGATTGGTGGAGCACTATAAATACAAATGAAACAGAACCCCAAAATACAAAGCTTCCACAAGCAGACCTACTCTAGTCCAGGTCTGAATTCCCACATCCCACAAAAACAAACTGGAAATCACAAGCCCTCCCCCAAAACAACTGTCCTCAGTAAGGTAGACTGTTTCCAGTCAGGTCTGAAGCAGCCTTTGCATCACTTGTATCTGCCACCAGAGATACTAGCTCTGCCTCCCACTTCAGCGGCTTTCATTCAAGACCAGAAAACAAGAAAAAAGCCCTTCAAAAAAGGACAGAACCCAGAACATCCTATATGGTCTACAAATTAGGAAATGGTATTTCTAGCAGGCCTGAGACATACAGAGTCTCTCATACAGAGACACAACCTCCCTAAGAGCAAGCTAAAAGCCCTCTGCGGACTGGAGATTGAGGAAAGGAGGATGTTCTACGTTCAGAAACCTCTGGATTAAGAACTGAGGCGTATGGACTAAAGTATAATATTGTCAAGACTGTATTCCCCAGCAACAAAATCCACTGTTAAGTGCTGCGTCAAACCCTCCCTGACTCCTCGTCCTTGCTGTCAGCCGTAACTGCTGTTACCCGGAGCTGTGGTTGGGCAGTCCCTCTCTGTGGTTCCCACATCCTTCTGAGAGGCCACTGTTGTTGTGGGCAGATCTGCAAGGTGAATAAGAGAGACACTCACACAGCAGTTTGACCATGTTTGTGATGCCGCTGCAATACAGAACTCCACTGGCGGGATAAGACAACGAAGAACCAGCCACCAGAGGACAGGCGGGGGACCGTGTGCTAGCAGCGTTAACAAGCACAGCCATCATTAATTCCTGCTCCCTTGCTGTACACTCTTACATGCAACTGCTATGAAAAACAACATGTTGCTTCAGCCATAACCTTCATTCCGCTGGGAGCTCAGCAGGCTTTGCCTCTTTCAAAGGTCACCATGTGGTATCTGTGCTTGGCTCTGCAATCACAGACTTCACAGCTCTGGTGACTGTTACCAGCCAAGGAAAGTACGAGTCTTCCACAAGACATCCATCATGCATCTTCTTGCAGAGCCTGGATACATCAGAGCAGAGAGTGTGTGAAGTGCAGTGTGTTTTTCTGAAACACATAGCAAATCATAAGGAACAAAGGCCATTTTGATTTTTTCACCTACTGAATTACCACTCACGTTCCCGATACTCAAAATGAAGTCCTGATTCCTCATCTAAGCTTGCTCTGCTTTTGCCTTAGTAACATGCTGCGATAGGCAGCATCACACAGCCAGCAAGAATTTCAAGAAAGCCAAGGAGGAATAAATATAAGCGTTATAAAACCTCTTTTGCATCAGAAAAGAGCAGTTCCTCTAAAGAGGAGGAGGGAAACTGAATACAGGAAATAAAAAAGGATAGAAAGCCAGAGACAGCGACGAGAACTGCTTCAGAGTGCAGAAGGCCAAGGCTTTTTGCGTTTTCTTCTTTCAGGGAAGGGAAGTAGGAACGTTGTTCCATTCTGGTACGGAAGGACTCCAGATGTTTTCCATCTGGCTGTGGCTCTGGGGACTCACCTCTCACTGTCAGCTCAACGGTGTCGCTCTGCTGCACAGCCCTGGCCCTGACGTTGTTTTCTGCCTCACAGTAGTACTTCCCGGTGTCGGAGGGCCGCAGGCTGTCCCACGCCAGCTCGGCCTGGCTGCTCAGGAGCAGGGCTTTCCCCCCGGGGCCGCTCCTGAACCAGCGGTAGCTGATGGGGGGGGACCCGCTGGCCACACAGGTCAGGCTGGTCCTGGCTCCTGCCGGGACTGTCAGCCCCAGCTCGCCGGCCCTGATGACGGGCTTGGTCACTGCAACTGGAAGACAAAGCAGTTGGGGCCCAGGTCACGCTGGCCCTGGTTGCAGCGGGGAAGGTTCCTCCCCCCACTCCACAGCAGTTCACGCTCTGGCTTTCAGTGCTTTCCCAGGAAGAAGAGGGCCACCACTCTCATGTCACCTCTCTTGCACAGGTTAAGCTTGGCTTAGCTGTGCCTGTACCAGCTATGCCACCCATTGCACCTCCTACACAAAGGCCTGCTCTGCTGGGTTGATGCCATCCCTGTTTCTCTATAAATCACCGCTGCCCAGGCAAAGGGAGTGCCTGGGCACATGCTGATGAAGTTTGTCAAAGAAAAGCAATGCAATATCCCAGGGACTTCCCCTCTGGTGCGTGTCCCTTGGAAATATTGAGTCAGAGACAGGTAGAACCAGAGACAAATTGGTAAGCAAGAGGCCACAAATCTTCCCTCAGCCCCCGAACTGCAGGGCGCAGTATTGTGGGCAGAATTCCTCTTTCCAACCTCTTTGCCGCTTCTTGCCGGAGACTGACACCGCTCAGCAAAATGTTCCTGCATCAGAAGTGGGTGGTCACTGCCTATCTGGTCTATTCAATTCCTAAAAGCCTTCCCGAGCCAAGCCTTCCACTCCTGCGCAGCTTCCTTCTTGGGTTTACCTTTAACAACCTCCACTTTAATGGTGATCTCTTTTGCTATCAGGCTGTTGTTGCTGGCTCTCCAGGTGACCTGGCAAGTGTAGGTTCCCCTGTCAGAGACCTCCAGGTTCAGGATGTGGAGAGACACGTTCCCTGGGGCGCCCTTCAGGACACTGACCCTGCCCCTGTACTCAGACAGGAGGACATGGTCGCCAGAGCCATCCCTCCGAAATATAGTGCCAGAGCTCTGGTCATGTACCACAGACCACGTGAGCGTTTGCTGCACAAAGTCCTTCACAGGCACATAGGCACATGGCAGGGTGGTAGCTCCCTTCCATACGCCGCTGATCTCATTGGGGCCAATCAGGTCCAGAAAAGCTGCAGAAACAACGGAGAAAGAAAATTAAAAAAGCAGTCATGGTGAAGGCAGCTCCTGGGTGATGAAGCAGTGGTGAGAGCATCAGCAAGTGGAATCCACCAAGTCAAAAGCATGGGCAGTCAGCGTAGACGATGAGGGATGGTCTGTTCAGGGATGGGCTAACAAAAAAGCAATGTGGCAGGAGGAAGACAGATGGGAGACAGCTGATTGCCAGGGGCACTGATGCGTGCCACGTGTGCAGTTTGGCTCTTATGCTCTGCCTGGTGCTTACCTGCAAGCAGGTGAACACCAGACAGAGCATAGGACCAGAATTAGGATGACTTAGGCCTCAGAGAAGGAGTTTGTCCTGAGCCTGAGTTGCACAGCTCTCCGGTCACAGCTGGCGTCTGCCCCTGCCACCTGATGTCACTCTCGGGGCTTTCCTGGAAAGCACCACACGTTAACAGCAAAGCACAGTTTTTACTGTTTTCTCTCCTTTGCTGCCCGTTTGTTCTTCTGAAAGACACTGCTTTTTCAGACTAATCTGAATTTAAGCAACAGATCAAAGAAGTCTAAAGCTCTCTAAGTTTTCCTACAAAAATGAGGTCCGTTGCCTTTGTCCCAGTACATTTTTGTCACTCCTAGGGCTAAACCTATGCTTCCGTAGACACTTCTTTACCCTTTTCGCCTCGTTTCCAAACCTCCCCCTTCCTAGGAACACAAGAACTAACCAGACCCTTCGTGCTGGGCTGCTCGCTGTGCTCCGTGAAATAACCGTCACAATGTATATGGGATCTTTGTACTCTAAGTACGTGGGCAGCGTTTCGATAACCTTCATGCACCGTTGCACTCCGCAGCCGCTGGATTTGAAACAACTGAACACTGAGGCAGCAGCATGCAAAGACATTGGCCTTTTTGCCATATTTCTATTCCGGAAATAGAACCACCCCTGTACAAACACATGCAGACACACCAGTGCCAGGGAAGGAACCGCCCCGAGCTGGAGACCTTTCTGTAGACTCACCATTGCAGAAGAGAAGAGGACTCATAAGCATGGCTGCTCTCACCAGCATTCCCATCCTTCCCAGGGCTGCAGCTTCTCCCTCTCGAGTAGAACGGACCTGGTCTCTCCAAGTCAGGGGATAAATCACGAACACATCCCTTTCTTTGCTTACTTTGTCATGGAGAACTCAGGGCAGCTGCTGCTGATTTTTCCTTCCTCTTTTTCAGAAAAAAAAAGTGTCTTGATGACTACTAGAGGTGTGGGCAGAACAGAAGTCCTAAGTGAGGGTGAAAAGAGGAAAGTTTAAGAATTACTTCTGCTCTATTTCATGTTTCCTGCCGAGTATGCTTTTTCCCCCTTCTGTTTTTTAATTCAACTTTTAAAAAACATTTCCTTTGTTTCTTTTTATTAAGAAAATATGTGTTTATTTAACACATATTTCTTCCTCTTTTACTCCTTGCATTGCTTTCTAAATAATAAGTTTTAACATGCATGTTACATACAAGAAGATCTGAGAGAGTACTCTTAAAGAGCTAAACAACCAAGGTCCTTACTATTCAGTTTCTTACCAGCTTTTCTATGGAGCTCACCACTGTGTTTTAAATTAAGAATCGTAGAACACGCTAAATCTTTACATTACCAGTGTGAGACAGATGATCATTGTAAGTCCCCTCCAACTGAAATATTCTATTCTATATCATTATATCCCATTTAAGAGGTGGAGAGTTTAGGTATACAAATCTGAAAACAAATACTTTCCAAGAGCTGCAGGCACCTGGCTTGACCATCTCACTCTATATCACAGATTGATCCCCTTTCTCACATAGCAATTTAGCTGCTTGGTTGAATTGATTAATTGCATTCAATTAAAAACATGGATTAGGGCCATATGCACCTGCATTTCCCTGTAGACTACTTTGGAAACAGGTAAACAATTATATGCCTAGAGAGAAAAAAAAAAAAGAACTTATCAAGGTAGAAAATCTTTGAGACTATGAAATCATGACTTCTTAACTGTAATGAGATGTGTTATTATTAATTAAAGGTAATATTAGTTATAGTTAATCTGTATTATTAAGTAATTGACCACTAGACCCATCTAGGAGAAGTATCTGTTCTCTACTGAAACATTATCTTCAAGAGATTTTTGCATGTCTTTTTCTGTCTCCTGCAGCTCTTAATTTTTCTTACACCCTAATGACAGAAATCTCTTCTGCTTCATTGTATTCAGCTAAATCGATATGAACACTTTGCTATTGTTACATCCAAATTCAACATCCAGTCCTCAAATGCAAGTAACCAGAATAATTAAATGCAGTCAACAAAATCCTAGACCATATTCTAAAGTACAACCCTCTTTTAATGATATGAAACAATGTTTGCATCTGTAGAAGTACAGTACAGCATACCAGAGCAATCAATGCTGCATACTTGATTCTGAAGTAGTGGCAATGTCGGGAAAAAAAAAATATTTCTTATAGTCTTATATATGGCTTAAAGGTGGCTCCACGTACATTGTCATTTGTAGGCAGCTTCATTAGGCTGTTACGTAATTTAACATTAAAAACAGGAGATCTGTGTACACAGCCCTGGGAGCTCTGATATTATCTTGTTCCTTTTCTTTCGAGGTCTTTGCTTTCATTGTGATTGCTTGCTTTTACATATATTCTTATTTTACAGTCGTTGATAGTTCATTCTGCAAAACAATGGTGCTTAAAAGCATATATGCATATAGAAGTGTGTGTTTGTTTTTTTTTACTGCTTGTTATTAACATTGATCTAATTATGATAACATTATTGGCATGAGTTTGAATTTGGTTCTTTTCAGGTTACAACATTCTGATCTCTGTTTCCCTGAAGCTGGTGATTTTACTACACACAATTTTCATGCCTTTATTTGGTTAGAAAATCTCTGTACCCTTGTGGTTGTTTATCAGTCTCAGCCTAGAGAATCATCTGTTCAATTAATTTCTTACCATCTACTCTGCAGTTATATCTGTAATTAAAGAGGACACCCTACCAGCTTAAGGTCTAAATGCTTCTGAAAATATCCTACTCCATAAACCTGAGAAAAAGGTTCAGCTTCGGGACCTGATTTCACATGCTCCTCTCTTGTAGCCCCGTATTCCTCCATCAGAAATTTTGCATGAGATGCAACTCCAACCTACAGTCACTGGGATGGCGAGAAGCAGGAAAAGCTTGTGTGGGCTGCAGTGTTCACATACTTCTTGGTTCAAAAAAGGAAGAGAAAAGAACATGTTAAGTTCAAATTAATGAAACTCCTTCCTGGGGAACATGGCTGCCTGGACAGGAGGGCAGAAGCCTAAAATGACGCAGACTAAGTCATAAGGGAACCTACCACTACCAGGGTACATACCAACCAGGAAGCTAAAACTCAAACTGCTTGACAAAAAAAATATGTGTATATATTTATATATTCATATATTTATTTATATATTTATAGTTACATTTACCTTTCTGGTTGGGGGGACAGTGGCAGGAGAACTCTTTTGTCCTTTATATGATTCAAGTACAGACACCTGTATGCTAAGATAACCCTTAGCAGAAATCTCTTGCTTCTGCTTTGGGGAACTATGGTAACATGGGTACTACTTTTCAAAACAGCAATCTTGTTTTAGGAGCCAGCAAAACATTTTGAGCATGGGCTGGATGAGGTGGCATCACACAGGCAAGGAGAGACAGATTAAAATAATTTTTTCTCATATTCTGGAAAGCTCTGTGTTAGCAAGCACACAGCAATACGAGATAAAAAATTGATGGCTAGGCTGACATGGTCTGTGTGGGGAGGGCTAGTCTGGAACAGTATGAAAAATAATTATGAAAGTAGCACGTGAGGGGCACTTTTCACTTTTTCTCACTTTCTCACACTGTGCAACCTTTCCTTCCCCAGATACAGGACACTACAACCAAGAAGTAAAAGAAGCAGCCGTGTGCATTGATGCTGGAGGAGGAAGGAAACTTGCATTATAGTGAAGGAACTGTGATCACAGGTAACACAAACTTGTTACGCATCAAGTTGCAGTGGCATAGTAGTCCTTACCAGCAGGCTGCTGTACATCAAGGGGTTAGTGATCCGCTGCCGCCTGGCCTGCTGTGCTGCACACACCGTTGGGCCTTCGGGCCTGTGCTCTGCTGCGGGTATCACTTGGCTGCAGACAGGCTTGGCCGGCTCATCATAACGGAGGAGTCTCTCCATGGCTCCCAGCGACAGCGCCACTGCCATGTCCCTGTCCTTATTGTGAAGCGGAGCAGCGTGTTTTCATGTAAACATCCTCTTTCTTGGCAGTGGAAATGACGAATAGAGTTCTTTATTTCTAGGAAAATCCTACAAAAAACTGTAAAGCCCACAGTGCCGGTTAACCTCGGCACGGGCTCTGCACAGTGTGCCATGCCTGGATCAGAGGTCTGCCTGATGCTAAGATTATCTGTGCTGTTCCATGTTTCCTTCTCATGTTATCTCCAGTAAACGTTGCTTTAATCAATACCTTATGGAGCTGAGAGCCTTTCTTACTGGAGTCTATAAAGAACACTTGCACTGGTGTACTATATCTGGCGCAGTGTATATATATATAGTATATATACACACACTATATATACTAGTATATATACTATATATATATCTGTACTTTATCTGGCAGAGCCCTGGTGAGAAATGGTATAGTGTATACTATATATATAGTGTATATACTAGTATATACACTATATATATATATCTGTACTATATCTGGCAGAGCCCTGGTGAGAAATGGCTTTTTGGGAAAGGATAGTGAGGCAAGGACAGGGCGGGTGCCCGGCTGGCCCCGCACGCAGGCGCAGCGGCACTTGCGCAGTCTTTGGGCTCAGTGACCGCCCTGTGAGTTGGCAAACAGGGAAAGTGTAATCTGGGTGTCCCATCCCAGCTGTAACATTAACTTGTCTCCAAAAGGAAAAGGAAAGGAAAAGGAAAGGATGGTAAAAAAACCTAGCAGAATTTACATCGTAGCTGGTTGTTATTAACACGCTTTCCAAAGAGCGCTGGAAAGTTTTGACCAGGCAGAGAGTTACAAAAGACTGAGATACGGGAAGAGGCGGTGTGGGTACCCCAGCAACAAGAAGTACTGATGAAAGAGCCAAGAGCTGCCATGCCAGCTGGGGGGGCAGCCGCCGTTGTAGCAGCTGGTACAAGGCTGAAGCTGGGATTCTGCAGTGTGGGGCCCCGAGTTATGACCGAGCAACAGGGACCCTGGACAACCTTTCACACTGTCTCTGTGTCAGATTACACCCAGGGAGAATTGCAGACCGTGGTTGAAACTTACCGGCAAAAAAATGAGAGAAACTAGGGCAATGGCTCTAGAATAAATTGTCAGTTTCAGTAATGTTTTTTCTTTTTTAAACAAACACATAAGTAACAGAATGTATCTAAAAATCAGAATAGAAGTAACGTTAAAGGAAGAAGGCATAGATAAGTATTAGAAGATACTCAGACCTGTCTGATAACCAACCTCAACAGCTGTAGTCCAGTGAATCTAAGTTAACCCTGTACGATACATGAACTTAAGGTGCTAACACCTTCCTTTTAAAGGAAAGGAAAAGGAAGATGGCATCTTTGCATAAATATACCAACTGCTGATTTAAGCTAAAATGTAAAGTTTGTCTGTTTATTATAGAGAAGATAGGGGGAGATGGAGAAATGCAGGGCGGGGGGGGAAGGTGAGTGAATATGTTGAGTACTCCTATGAAGGAAAATACTCTAGCTCTGGGAACAAAGATAACTACTAATGAAAAGCTTTTGTTAATCTTTTTTTCAACAGGTAACAGAGGAACTGACTATCCCAAAAACTTCTGGACTTTTACCAACTTAATGCCATTTCATCCTCCAGGACTTTCGCACAGAGCCCCATTGACTGCTCCAGATTATTAGAGGAGACAGATGGTTCCCACACCTTGGCAGTGCAGCTGAGGGCATCCATTAACTTTGTCGTAACGTTTTTGTCCTGTCTTTCATCTTACTCTCCCTTTCACTTCCCATGGATTCACTTCAGTTGATTTGTGTTTACATAGACCTCTCACATTACTCAGAGGATAT